TAAAGTGCTGCAGTCAATATGTCAGCAAATTTGGAAAACTCAGCAGTGGCCACAAGATTGGAAAAGGTCAATTTTCATTCAAGTTCCAAAGAAGGTCAGTGCCAAAGAATGTTCAAATGACTGTACAGTTGTGCTCATTTCACATGCTAGCAAGGTAATGCTCAAATTATCATGTGAGTTGATGGTAAAGAATCTGCCTATAATGCAGGAGAACTGGGTTTGATCCCTGGGTTGGGAAGATCCCCTGGAGAAGGAAATGGTAACCCACTCCAGTATTCTTGCCTGGAGAATTCCATGGACAGAGGAGCCTCATGGGCTATAGCCCATGGGATCCCAAATAGTCAGACATGACTGAGTGACTTTCACTTCAGTTCAGTGCTCAAACTCCTTCAAGCTAGGCTTCAACAGTATGTGAACTCAGAAATTCCAGATGTACAAGTTGGGTTTTGAAGAGGCAGAGGAACCAGAGATCAAATTGTCAACATTTGTTGGATCATAGAGAAAGCAAGGGAATTCCAGAAAAACATCAACTTCTATTACATTGACAACACTAAAGCCTTTGACTCTGTGGATCACAACAAACTGGAAAATTTTTAAAGAGATGGGAATACCAGACTACCTTACCTGCCTCCTGAGAAACCTGCATGCAGGTCAAGAAACAATAGTTAGAACTGGCCATGGAACAAAGGTCTAATTCAAAGTTGGAAAAGGAGTAGTCAAGGCTATATATTTTAACCCTCTTTATTAACTTCTATTCAGATTACATCATGTGAAATGTCAGGCTGGATGAATCATAAGCTGAAGTCAAGATTGCCATGAGAAGTATAAGCAACCTCAGATATGCAGATGATACCACTTGAATGGCAGAAAGTGAAGAGGAACTAAAGAGCCTCTTGATGAGGGTAAAAGAGGAGAGTGAAAAGCTGGCTTAAAACTCAACGTTCAAAACACTAAGATCATGACATCTGATCCCATCACTTCATTGCAAATAGTTGGGGAAAAAGTGGACACAGTGACAGATTTTCTTTTCTTGGGCTCCAGAATCATTGTGGACAGTGACTGCAGCTGTGAAATTAAAAGATGTTTGTTCTTTGGCAAACCAAGACAGCATATTAAAAAGCAGAGACATCACTTTGCTGACAAAGATATGTAAGATGCAAGTGATGGTTTTCCAGTAGTCATGTATGGATGTGAGAGTTGGACCATAAAGAAGGCTGAACACCGAAGAATGGATGCTTTTGAGTTGTGGTGCTGGAGAAGATTCTTGAGCATCCCTTGGACTGGAAGGAGATCAAACCAGTAAATCCGGAAGGAAATCAACTCTGAATATCCATTGGAAGGACTGATGTTTAAGCTGAAGCTCCAATCCTTTGGCTTCCTGATAAGAAGAACTGATTCATTGGAAAAGATTCTGATGCTGGGAAAGATTGAGGGCAGGAGGAAGAGAGGGCGGCAGAGGATAAGATAATTGGATAGCATCACTGACTCAATGGACTTGAGTTTGAGCAAATTCTGGGAGATAGTGAAAGACAGGGAAGCCTGGCATTTTGCAGTCTATGGGGTTGCAAAGAGTCGGACAGGACTTAGCAACTAAACAACAATAACAAGTATAAAGGTGCCATCAGATTTAAGAAAATATCATTTCTGTATTAGTTTCCTAGGGCTTCCATGGCAGAGTACCACAAACTTTATGGTTTAAAAGACAGAAATTTATTGTCAAAGTTCTGAAATCGAAAGTTGAAAATCAAGGTATCAGCAGGGCCATGGTCCCTCCAAGGGCTCTAGAGAAGAACCTTTCCTTGCCTTTTCTAGCTTCTGGTTAGTTGATGGGAATCTTGAAATTCTTTGGCTGATAGATGCATCACTCCAGTCTTTGCCTCTTTCTCCCCATGACCTTCTCCCCTGTGTCTGTCTCCATAGCCAAATTTCCCTCTTCTCATAAGGACACAAGTTATATTGGATTTAGGGTCTAGTTTATTCCAGTATGATCTCATCTTAATTTGATTACAGCTACGTAGACCCTATCTCCAAATAAGGTCACAAACAAGGTTTCTGGTGGATATGAATTTTGGAAGGATAGTATTCAACCCCAAAGAAGATTAGCATGGACCCTGTGCAAAGATCACACACACACAGTATTCAACCCAAGATATTACCTAATATCAAACGCTCTTACATAGTTTTTATGACACACATTTGAAAACATATTCAATCTTTGAATGTTTATGTTTATGTTTATGGCTCACAAACACTATGAAATCTCCTTATTTTATAGTTAAAAACTGAATTTTTGAATCTTAGTAAAAGTATTTAAGAGAATTATGAATTTTTTAGTTTGAGTGCTATTCTGTACATATATTTTTTTTACTACATCAGATTAAGTAACCATGTTTTTCTTATTGATAATTATTTTAATTCTGTTGAAATGCAAATGTTAGTGTAAAATTTTGGTGGAGAATTAATAATGTTATTTAAGACATGAGTATGTGCATGAGAGTTACTAAATTTTTATGCATGACTTCATTAAGTTCAAACAAGTTTTGCCTTAAAAAACGAAACCAGGCACAATTAGATGAACATCAGCTATTAGTGATTTTAATAGTGTAAGTGTTATTGAAAAAGGTTACTTTTCATTCCAATCCCAAAGAAAGGCAATGCCAGAGATTGTACAAATTACCACACAAACAATTGCACTTATCTCATATGCCAGCAAAGTAATGTTCAAAATTCTCCAAGCCAGGCTTCAACAGTATGTGAACTGTGAACTTCCGATGTTCAAGCTGGATTTAGAAAAGGCAGAGGAACCAGAGATCAAATTGCCAGCATCCATTGGATCATCAAAAAAGCAAGAGAATTCCAAAAATGTCTACTTCTTCTTTATTGACTACGCCAAAGCCTTTGACTGTGTGGATCACAACAAACTGTGGAAAATACTGAAAGAGATGGGAACACCAGACCACCTGACCTGCCTCCTGAGAAATCTGTATGCAGGTCAAGAAGCAACAGTTAGAACCAGACATGGAACAACAGACTGGTTCAATTGGGAAAGGAGTATGTTACAGCTGTATATTGTCACCCTGCTTATTTAACTTCTATGCAGAGTATATTGTGAGAAACGCTGGGCTGGATGAAGCACAAACTGAAATCAAGATTGCCAAGAAAATATCAATAGCCTCGGATATGCAGATGACACCACCCTTATGGCAGAAAGTGAAGAACTAAAGAGCCTCTTGATGAAAGTGAAAGAGGAGAGTGAAAAAGTTTGCCTAAAAATCAACATTCAGAACAAAGATCATCGCATCCAGTCCCATCATTTCATGGCAAATAGATGGGGAAACAATGGAAACACTGAGAGTCTTTATTTTTGGGGGGCTCCAGAATCACTGCAGACGGTGACTGCAGTCATGAAATTAAAAGACGCTTACTCCTTGGAAGAAAAGCTATGACCAACCTAGACAGCATATTAAAAAGCAGAGACATTATTTCATCAACAAAGGTCCATCTAGTCAAAGCTATGGTTTTTCCAGTAGTCATGTATGGATGTGAGAGTTGGACCATAAAGAAAGCTGAGCTCCGAAGAACTGATGCTTTTGAACTGTGGAGTTGGAGAAGACTCTTGAGAGTCCCATGGACTGCAAGGAGATCCAACCAGTCCACCCTAAAGGAAATCAGTCCTGAATATTCATTGGAAGGACTGATGCTGAAGCTAAAACTACAATACTTTGGCCACCTGATGTGAAGAACTGACTCATTTGAAAAGACCCTGGTGCTGGGAAAGATTGAAGGCAGGAGGAGAAGGGGACGACAGGGGATGAGATGGTTGGATGGCATCACTGACTCGATGGACATGAGTTTGAGCAAGCTCTGGGAGTTGGTGATAGACAGTGAAGCCTGGTGTGCTGCAGTCCGTGGGCTTCCAAAGAATCAGACATGACTGAGTGACTGAACTGAAATGAACTGATTATATAAGAAGGGGCTTTTCAAGTGGCACTAATCCTAAAGAACCTGGCTACCAGTGCAGAAGACTTAAGAGATGCAAGTTTGATCCCTGGTTTGGGAAGATCCCCTGGAGGAAGGCATGGCAACCCACTCCAGTATTCTTGCGGGGAATCCCACGGACAGAGGAGCCTGGCTGACTACCATCCATAGGGTAGCAAAGATTTGGACATTACTGAAGTGACTTAGTATGCATGCATTATACAAGAAGCAGGAGAGAAATGCAGCTGGTGAAGGGCTTGGAAATCATACCTTCCAACATTTGAGAACAGTGAAAATTATCTTCAACTTTTGAAGAATGACTCTGGAAAAGAGTTTAGACTCCAGAGGGCATAACTAGAACTGGTGAATTAAGGTTAATTCAGGTTAACTGAATTAACTGGTGAATTAAGGTTAAGGACACACTTCAGTGCAATATAGAACTAAACTTTCTCAGTGAATAGTGTGTTGTATACCAGAATGCATGTGGTAGTTATGTAAGGGGGTGACATGTGAGTACCTGGAAGTGCTCTGGAAGGGGCCGAATGATTACCTCTCCAGGACCTCTTAATGGAGATCTTGCGTTGAGCAAGAAATTGAAACAGAGGATCATTTCTAGCTTCAGGATGCAAGTCCTCCTAAAATTTCTATTTTTCTATATGCTATGAAATGAATATCAATATTATATGACAAGACATTTCTATAAGTTGATATATGTTTAAACAGCTGCCAACCTATGTGCTCTATGAATTCTGTGTTTTGAAATGCTTGGAGGAAAAAGGTATTTAATCTCTGAGAAGATGAAACATCATTAACAGGTGAGAAAAGAAGGGGCATAAAACTTCTATTTATTGAGTACTTACTGGGTGCAGGATGAGTTGGATGAATTTATCCATATTATCTCATTTAATATACTTAGTTTTTCATTGCTTGGTTTGGAACTTATGAGACACTGTAGTTCGTAGAACGATGAGTTCCCACAATAATTGGCATTTTCTTATGTATTCTTTGGTGATGGAACACAGGACTGTTCTGATGGCTACATGTGCAAAACACATTTTCAAGTTAAAAATGGAACTGCAGTGTCACATCAAGGAACATCTGACCATGTACAGACATTTCTTCCTGTGGAGGTGAGTGGTTTAACATATCATGGTCTTCTTTTTAGTCTTTGTAAAGTATAAAGTAAAAATTTAAATCTAATAAATATATTAAAAAAATTAACTGCCATCAGATCCTGAACCTGTTGTAAGGGGAGAAGTGAACATCATTTCTAAGGGGTATTTTCTTCTATAATATTGAAATCAGTAACTGCGGTAAAGTTAAGATTCACTCTGGGTCTGTACAGGTTTTCACAAGGCTTCACCCTTTTGATTTCTCTTAGATCTAAAAACTACAGATGCCTTCCATTGCTTTTGATTTTTTCCAGTGAAATCCCCTCAGGATAATACAGGCCTTTCCTTAGCTGCGTAATGCGTGGTGGAGATCTCTTTACCTAGTCTATCTTTAACTTTTCTTCTATGTCCTTTAAAATATGCTGGATCTGGGTCTCATTCTTTAGGGGACTTTAACCTTGACTTGAAAATCTTGCTAAATTAAAATTTAATAAGGTACTAATAATGGCATAATGGTTTTCTGGGATATTTTCAACTTTCTTTTTATCAAAATGCAAATAGACTTATTCTACTTCATGTTGTTAACAAAAATTTTTATATATCCATTGTAAAAATAAACAATAGAAAAATGTATAAAAACTCCCATACATCCTTCAACTGAAGGTAACCACTATGAATATTTTGGTAGGTATCCTTGCACATATTTCTGTCACACACACACACATACACACTTGTGTTCTGCAATGAACAGGTATGACATGGATTTCTTTCCATGTCAGTAAATGTAGATAGCTGTAGTTCTTTTTTAATGGCTCCATTGCATTCCATCCAATGGATGAACTATAATTATGTGGACCCATATTGAAGTAAAATGCTTGAATTTTAAAATTGAATCAGTGGGGATCTAATTGCCTCAACATAAAGAAAGAAATCTAATGCTTAAAATTCCAGATATCCTAGTAAAATGGGAAAGGAGACTTTTTTTTGTGACGGTTGAGCCCTAACCCCTTCTATCTGTGTCCAGTGCTGGCCTGGAAGTAACTGTTGCCTGTGTAATTTAGTTTTTATTTATTTTTAAAATTAAATTTATTATTTTTTTAAAGTACTCCAAGGGATTTTTATATTTGGTTGCACCAGGTCTTAGTTGCACCACGTGGGATCTAGTTCCCTGACCAGGGTTTGAACCCAAGCCCCCTGCATTGGGAGCTCGGAGTTTTAGCCACTGGACCAGCAGGATAGTTCCATTGCCTGTATAACTTACTTGGAAATTTATTCTTGAGGATATTGTGTTTCATAATAAAGTAAGTGCCCCTGATTTATATATATTGATTTAAGGTTTTTTTGTTAGTGTTCTTAGTATATTGAGTGCTTAGTCAGTCAGTCATGTCCGACTCTTTGCAGCTCTTTGGACTGTAGTCTGCCAGGCTCCTCTGTCCATGAGATTTTTCAGGCAAGGATCCTGGAGTGGGTTGCCACTTTTCTCCTCCAGGGGATCTTGAGTAGGTATTCAAACCTTGATTACTGTTTCATGGTTCGAATAACCAACATCGTGTATGAAGCCAAGCATGTTAGGAAGCTTTTCAGTTCACTATATATTAACTTCAAAAATACACATGGAGATGATGATTTAAAAGATAAATTACTAGTTCTTCCCTAACAAGTTGGCAGACATTTGAAAAGCACTAAAAAGTGGTGTTGACAGTGTGAAGGAACTGACACTTTCTGGTTGATGTTTTAACTTCACAAAGTTTAAAGATGTGCACATACTATGCATTATCTATTCCAATTTTAGGAATTTAGCTTCATAAAATATAATTTTTTTCAACATTTTTTATTTTCAACATTTCCCAACAAATTTCAAACATATGAAAAAATCAAAAGAATTTTGCAGTGAACATCCATGTACTCATTGCTTGGATTCCAACATTAACATTTTGCTGTGCTTGCTGTATTGTATATCCCTCCCTCTATTCATCTATCTTCCTTTTTGATGCACTGCTGTTACATCAAAGTAAATTGCAGAAAATAATTAGACATATACACAAAGTTTTACATGTGTTCATTTAAAACTTTTTCAAATTTTACATGAAAGTATATTCATTTTACCACTATTTATAGTAGGAAAAAGTAGAAACAACTAAAATATCCAACAGTAGTGGATTAGTTGCTTATGGCACATCTCTGTGATGGACTTTGTGGTTCTGTAGGTTTGGATTGGAGCCTGAGAATTTGCAGTTCTTACAAGTTCCCAGGTTATGCTGCTGCTGCTGCTGCAGGGACCACCACACTCTAAGCACCGCTGCAGTACTTTATAATGGAACTCTTGGCGTATTTTAGACGCACAGCTGAGATGGTTAGTTAATACAATGTATGGTAGAGTTGATACTGTAATAATCTTGATGAAATGAAAAATGTCTTAGGTTGAGCCTGAGATGGAGATTCCTGTTGAAGTGACTTATTAGGGATATGTTCTTAGGAGAAAGGGAGTGACGGAAGCAGGAAAGAACAAGGGATAAAAGCTAAGGAAGACTGCGGTCTCACTAGAGATGAGCTTTAGTCTGATCTCCTTAGAACTCTGGAGCATAGATACCCCAAATTAGTCTCACCTTGTGTCCTTGAGGCTGACCTTTTGTCCTCTGTAACATTTATTGATCTGTCAGTCTGTCATTGACTGATGTAGAGGTAAACATAGCTTCCAAGCAAGATGGTTCCAGTATCACTGAGAAATTCTTCAGGGAAGGGGGCTGCTGTGTTTTATCAGCCAATAAGTATAACAGCTGGGTGTGAATGGGTGCGCTGGCCTCAAGAGGACCTGGGCAGGGCAGCAACAGTGTCTACTACCAAAGGGTAACCTAAAACCAACAAAATGACATCTGTGAGGAAGTGTAAGGCCTGCATTGACATGACGGCAGTTTATTTGAGAAAGAGCTAATGATTTTAGTCAACCACAAGCTCAAGGTAAGTGAAAAAAATGCCACGGATGCTAGAGAAACTAGCTGGAACTAAGCCATATTAATGAAAGCATGATTTGGATCCCAAATATTGTCTGGGGTCCCCTGGAGGGTCCCAGAGACCCTTTCAAGGGGTACACAAGGTCAAATATATTTAATAATGTTAAGATATTATTTACATTTTGTACTTTCATTCTCCCCTAGTTTCCCAGAGGCTGCCTATGTGTGATATTGCAATGGAGTGAATGCAGAAATGGTTATAAAAATCCAGCTGTCTTTAATTAAGTTAGACACTAAAAATATTTTCAAAATGTATACTGCTTTTCTTACTAATTTATGTTGTTTTTGAAAACATTTATTTTTTCATAGAAATTTGCTGTTATATTATCATTCATAGAAATTTGCTGTTATATTACCATGTGTTTTTAAAGTGAACTAATATTTTTTGAAATTTCAATTTTAATTTCTAATACAATAAATATCATACACATAACTCTCTTAAACAAAAAGTTCATTTGAATCGTCAGTGAATTTTAAAAGTGTAAAGGGGTGTTGAGACCAGATAATTTGAAAATCACTGCTATAGAACAAGGAAATATTACCTTATTGTGTGTGCAGAACAACATTGATAGAGTACATGATGAATGAATTCATAAATAATAGTTGAAATTTGATCATAAGTGGGGTTTATCCATTCAAAGAAGCATGCTGGGGGCCATGGGTAGGCTTGAAAATATATTATTATGAGGACTATTGGGAACTCTGGGGATGTTAAATTAGAACTAAAGACCTAGGATGGTTAATTGTCTTAAGATATCTAGAAAGCTTTCCGTGGAAGAGAGAGTAGACTCACTTTGTTTCTGAGGAGACAGAGTAACTAGAAATTACTCTAGACAAGTCTCTACTGTTTAGATTGTTCACAGTGAAATTGGTCAGCTTGCAAAGCTGTGAGTTCCCTTCCCTTTCTTGGAGATGTTAGCCACAGAGTGGATAACCTTTTCTCCAAAACAGTGGTCACTGACAGAAATGTTCAGATGTTTAAAGCACCAGCATGGTGATGAATGAAGTGGGCTGATGGGAGTTGGTGGGACCTGTGGAAAAGTGGTGAGGGAATGGTTCATCCAAAGGGGCAGTAGAAATGCATCTCCAGGTGGATTTTCAAGAGAAGGCAAGATTTGGGTTTATGTGTTGATAAAAAAAAAATTCTGTTTAGTCTAAATAGACTATGTGTATGGGCTGAAAATGGTCCTTGGGCCACCAGTTTACAACCTAGCCTCTAATATTATAGAAAGGGGTTCCACATTGTATAGAAGACTGAGCCAGGGGGCTTTGGAATTCTCTTTGGAATTTAGAGCCCCATCCATAACTGGGCCTCCCTGGTGGTGCTAGTGGTAAAGAACCTGCCTGCGAATGCAGGAGACAAAAGAGACCTGGGTTTGATCTCTGGGTCAGGAAGATCCCCTGGAGGGATCTTGCCCCTGGGCATGAAACCCACTCCAGTATTCTTGCCTGGAAAATCCCATGGACAGAGGAGGCTGGTGGGCTACCATCCATAGGGTCACAAAAGTGTTGGACACGACTGAAGTGACTTAGCACATTGTATCTGTACATAATTTCCTATTTAAAGATATTTGAAAGAATGCCTCTTTTAGTAGTTACTTTAAAAAAGATCTAAAAAAGATTGGCCATGTATGAAGTGGGAAATCAGATCACTTCTCTGTTCCAATCAGAACTGGTAGTCTTGACTATAGAGGGGTAGCTGGATTCATGATTTTTATGCCCGTGAGTTTATGTGCAATAAACAAGAATTTAAAAATCAAAGAAATATAATGGAATATGTGAGTGAAGTAATTTGTTAAAATCAGAATCTATGTCTTGTTTGAATTTTTAAAATGTAATTTAAAATAATACTTAAAAGAGTGAGATGATATTCAGAAATCTACTAATTATATTGGGGTTGCTTAGCGTTGGTTTTGGGGACAAGAGTTCTTATATGATTATTCATTAGATAAGACATTTATTGTTGAGAGTAGTTACTGTGATTTGCTTGTGACCTTTCTGAGTTTG